GTCAAATGAGGATTTTCAGTTCTTTGTATGACAGGTGGTCATACACATAGAAAGTCGGAGGTATGATGAGGTTGCTTTAATGACTCCTTATCACACACCTTAGTTCTATAGATATTACCCATAACTTCATATGGAGGGCAAGTACAGAGCTCCAGCCTCTGCAACATTAATCTCATTAGTATATCAAAATTATTTCTAGAGTATTAACCTTTAGCATCATAAAAGAAGATCCTGTAATGAAGATGCTAATATTGAACGACTACAAGATTATTTATAAAAACTAAGAATAGCTTAATAATAATTTTGCTTTTTCATAGTCAATATTTTAAAGAGGGGATGGAATAAAATGTTGGGGTGGATTCACAATATAGTGTCTGATTAGAATGAATATGCATATGCTTAGTTTCCAAAGAGGCAGGGGCTGCTTCTTGATCCCCTGTGAGAGGTGGAGCCTCTTCTGATCAGTTTTAGTTACTTCTATACACAGCAACTGGGACTAGGAGTACCCTCTTTTCTAGAGTTGGGGTGACATGGGTGTTGCAATTTCTGAGCTACCCTACCCATTAGATATCCCAGCCATTACCTGGAAGGCCTCAATTTTCTACTGGCAGTACTGTTAGTGATAGGCATCATGCTTTTAGGAAAGAGTGCCCCTGCTTCCCCACTAAATATTAGAAAATACCCTACAGAGGTTGAGTCTAGGTCTCTGGCAATAGTTAGTCTAGGGAGTTGGCCAAATGACGTTGACTGAGGAGGGTGCCACTTTTCAATGACAGTAGAAGAGGTAAGGAAAGCAGAAGAGGTGGTAGGTGGGGAGAGGTGGAGAGAGGCTGGGGAAGGAAGAAGTGTAGGTGGAGGAAGAGATGATGCTGTCGTGTCCATGCATGACATGAAAAACATGAGGGCTGAGTCCTGAGATAGACTTTGCCTTGTTTGCAGATTTTTGGGGGATGTGCCCTAAAAGAACTGCATACTCAGTGAGTTGGAAATAGTTTCCCTTCTTCTCAGAGGGAGAGAGAGGTTGTCCAGTAATGTAGACTACCAATGCTCTCTGACCCTCTAGAAAGTTCACAGGGAGACAGACCCAGGACTATGGAATTAGACTGAGATAGTCATGAGTCACATGGGACAGGGATGGTTAATTGTCCGATGGTTAATTGTGTGCATTGTTCCATTGGGCTAATCCTATCCTCAATACTAACCCCCCACTCCCACTCCTTCCCGAGCTAGAGGGGCAGGAGAAGAATTTTATGGGAATGTGATTTCATTAGGAACTCAAATAAATTCTTTTGAATGATCTAAAATGAAAATACCTAAAACTGAAATAAAGTAAATAAAAGAAGTGAATGCACTGCTCTAAGAAATTGATTTATATCATCTTTATTTCTGGAATAATGTGAAGATCTTGATTTAAAAAGTGTTGAGGAAAGATATACTGAGATAGGTGAATTCTTTAAAGTTTGGTAAAAGCAGCTGTAATAATATGTAAGGCATCTGTTATACCTAATATTTTTGGTACTTAAGCTTCCTCTTCTAGGTTCATAAAAGAAAGTAAGGTTTTTCAGACATTTGCATAAGCTTTATCTTTTTCCCATCTTCATGCTTAGTTTAACCATCTTCATTCTTATCAAATGCTATTTAAGAGGTGGGAGATGATGAAAGTAAATGAGATGCACCATTTTAGATTGTGTCTGTTGTATTTAAAACTACATAAAACACTGAGGCAATTATGAAGGGGTTCAGAACATAGTCAACTTTGGGGACAGTTCTTTTATAGTCTGTTTACAACGTCCACTTGTTTCACTTTGGTTTGGCTCAAGGGAATTACCCCAAGAGCAGTTAGAATTAATGTATACCTCTTGCACTTTCCCTGCTCCTCACGAAGCAAAGTTGACTAATTACTTTGAAAGGATCCACTAAAATTTCCACATATGGCTAATTTTGCTAAACTTGTATATGCTGCCTTAGACGAAGAGAGAAATACACAGTGTTCATGGAAAGCTGCATTACTAATGCAGCAGTGTTTCTGCCAAGATTTTCAGGCTAAGATGCTGAATATGTCTGGAAACGAAGAAAAACATCACACAGATGTACTACTTAAACTTTACAGACATCTGGGCATTTGAAAATTTCTGAGTGATTACCTACTCATTCATGTTCTCATTAATGCTGTTTACCAAATATTTCTGACTCCTCTCTGCCTACAAGGTGGTTTGCATTTTCCCATACCCTTTATGTTAAGAATGGCCATATGACTTGCTTTTGTGAGTGAATCGTGAGAAGCTATACATGTCACATCTGGGAGGAAGCTTTATGTGCTCCTGTACTATTAGTCAGAACCTCTTTCCCCCTGCCATGGTAACTAGCTCCAGATGTGGAGGTTCTATTAGCCATGTTCCTAGAGTGACGAGATGTGGAGTTTCTTCCCTCCACTCTAATCCTTTCACCTGCTGAATAGGTAGCATGAATGAGAAATAAACCTTTGTTTTAGTGCATTAAGATGTGGAGGTTCTATTGTTACAGAAGCATAATCTAGCTTAGCCTATGAAAACCACATCTCTTAGGTTTTGTTTTTTTTTTTTTTTTCTTTTCTGTAGGTTGAGTGTTTGTGAATAATTGTGGGAATTCCACATGCTAGTATGCGTCATTGTTTTTCTGATGTCTATTTTTTGCCTAGCTTTCTTGATTCTACTTTTTCTGTTAGCTAACCTGATTTCAAACATTTGGAAACTAAAGGCTATAGAATCTTGCAAGATTATGCATTTATTTTAATGTGAATTTGTTACATTTCATTGTGCATGTATTTATTTTGTATTTCATTTATGTGCTATATCACTTGGTAACATATTGGTCCATCTTTTCCATGCTATTACATGACATGCTTCTAAGGAGAAAGTGCAACATATAACTATTCTTTAGTGGAATGCTTGAGTTTTTTTCTGAAAAGGTAATAGAGATGATGATAAGGATAAAGATGTTAAATGATAGAGATTCCAGAAAGTGCTTCAGGAATATGTGTGTACAGAGTGGCTGCAAAGCATTTCAATTTGTGCAAGCAATTTACTGCCCAGGTGTTCTGGTATCTGAAAATCAGAAATCAATTTCAAAGTATATAGCTAACAGCATTCTAGGTTTTAAAATTGTATGGAAATACAAAAGGATGGGATAATGTGAGGATTAGCAAATGACATTGTGTTATTAGGCGGAAAATGGTAGATGGTCACACTTGAGATGTTTCTTGTTTGCTGAATGTCTTCCTCAGTGAGAATTCTTTCCAGGAAGTATATTTTAGTCTTTGGAATAAAACCATTGCCAACTCGCATTGCATTGCCTTTCTATTCTTACATATAATTTTGTTTCCATTTTTATAGCATCAGAAAACAGGTCTTGAAGTGAAAATTTTGAATACAATAATAGGTCAATAGAATCATTTTTGAGGCATATTTCCTGAAAGTCAAGTGACAAGTTTGGCAGTCAGTCATAGTCTCGTGAACTTCTTAAGTGTTCTTACAATATTCCTTAAATTGGTGCTTAAAGAATTTTATGATGTCTTTTTAATATTATAGTGTTAGAATGCATTCACATGAAATTTAATTAGTGATATTAAATTTTAATAGAATATTGTATAATTCTCGGTATATTTATGATAGAAGTATCTCTAGTCATTGAGGTGTTTTTTTCCTATACAGGTCTACATAGCACACAGGTCTACATGGTGCTTATGAAATGAATGGTGAAAATAAGCAAGTAATTAGAATGACTGCTGTTGTAATCATGGTTAACATAGATGATTAACTTATTTATTCTTTTGGTAAATATTTATTAAATAGCTATATTTTAGACACCATGCTAAACACTGTGAATACCCAGATGAAAGAGACATGGTTCCATTTGTAAAGAGCTCACATCATAGCTGGGACACATATTGATTATATAGATACATATTGATTATGGCCTGTGATGAATATTATAGCAAATAGATGTGGAAAGTGCTGTTGAAACAGAATAGAGGAAATGATTAGTTCTTTTACTAAGGACTAATGGATGGATCATGGAGGGCTTCACAGAAAAGGTGACATTGGAAGTGGGCATTTAACACAAAATTTCATCACTTTGGTCTAATTAATAATATTGGAACTATTGAGGATTTTACCACCATATCTATAGTGGATAATTAGGGAACTTTTTTCAGAAAGTATTTCTTATGCTTGTATGTCATGTTCTATGCTTTGGAAATGTGGGGGTTTTAACATGGGTTAAATATTTAAAATATTTAACAATAGCAATGGCCATTCAGAATGGGTGCTGATAATAGACTTAGAGCAGAGTCTGAAAAAAACCCCTAAAGTGCCCATTAACTCATTAATTGTATGCTTATGGGTGGGTTTCTGCACTTCAATTTTTTATCTCTCAAATATAACTAATAGTAGTTTCTTTCATTTAGGATATTTGTGGAGATAAAATGAGATAATGTAAAGTGGCTGACAGAATTAATGGTGCAGAGTATGAATTCAAGAAATGTTAGGTATTGCAATTATTCAGTAAGAACAGACCTGACAACAAATTACAGATGTATGTAAAAGGGTGGAGCAATTGGGAAGGTGGGAGAACTAGGAAAAAATGCTTTCCAGGAAAGGACTATTTGAAAGTTTGAAGGAGACCAGAGGGTGGCCCTGTAAAATGCCATTATTTGGAAATTATCTAGGAGAAATACTGACAGTTCTATTTTTGTAGGGGATAATTATTTTATATTACAGTTACTCCTAATTTCAGTGATCATCTATGGTGATAATGTTAATGAACAGCCTTGGAATGAGATGTCAGTATTTGACTATGGCTGTTTGCAAACTCAACTGTGATTACACACAGTTGTCTAATTGCTTAATTTATTGATGTTTTGCTGACATGTTTTTCAGCAACATTTGTGATTGCAGATAACTAATCATTCCTCTTCTAGCTCATTATCATACGTTTGCATTTGATTTGTCTGATTGCTGCAGGTGGAAACAATAGGTGACGCATACTGTGTTGCAGCAGGACTCCACAGGAAAAGCCTCTGCCATGCGAAACCCATTGCTCTGATGGCCTTGAAGATGATGGAACTTTCAGAGGAGGTGCTGACACCTGATGGAAGACCGATTCAGGTAACCCTCTCAACAACCCGGTTTGAGCAGGGAGTGTACCATTAACTGAAGATGGCAAGAAATTCCCTTCTGAATACTGCCTATTTTAATTTATAGATCTAGACAGTTTGGGTGCTTATGGAGGACAAGAAAAGACTAGCGGTAACAGGAAAAGAACAAATGTGTAATAAATGGGTCCAAAATAGGAAAAAGTATGTGGAAGGCAAATTACTGTGGAGAAAAGAAAGAGCTAGTAGCTCTTCTGGATCTCTGGATCATTGAGTATGATAGCCCTTTGACTGAACCCAGACTTCATAGAACTTCACGGAATGTTCTGTAAAATTCCAATTCGGTTGAGGGGTTGTTGCACTTGGGGATCTATCTGGAGGGTCACATGTGGCCTTGAGGCTGTAGACTCCCCACTTCTGGAAGGCGAAGAACTTACTGTTAGTGACCAAGTCACCAAATCTAAGCAAGGATGATGGTGAGATTCAGAGTTTGAGAGGTAATCCAAGAAGTAAAATCAATGAAACAAGAAAATGGAGGATCTGGACAACCTCCTGTGGATAGTGTACAGGTGTTCCTTATAAAGCCTCAGACCTCAGAGCTACTTCTACAATTTTTCTTGTGGCATAACTTAAAGGTTAGAGCTGAATAACTCTTTTTGGTACTGATGGTTCTCTGCAGTCTGGGGTCTACCTGGCGAGATTACCAATGGTACAGTTCACTTGGCATTAACTAGTAAAGTTTAACTTATATACATCCTACAACCCAGCAATTTCTCCCCCAAATGTTTGCACAAATACAAGCGGGGTACTTGTGCATGTGTAACAAAAGTCACAAGTGATCATTCACAGTTTTACTATTCATAATAGCCTCAAACTGGACATAACTCAAATATCCATCAGCAGTAGAGTGGATAAATTGTATTTATACCTTGGTATAGCATACAGTTGGGAAAATGAATGACTTCAGCTACTGATGTCAATAAGGATGAATGTCAAAAACATAACATTGACCAAAAGAAGCAAATCAAAGAAGAATGCTGTAGAATTATTTCATTTAATTAAAGTTCAAAACCGAAAAAATTGAAAAAAAATGTGCTATTTAGAAATGCCTGTATGGATGGAAAAAGAAAATTGATGGAAAGAAAGAGAATGATTAACACAAAATTCAGGGGAATGAAAGATGACGGCAAGGAGGGGGATGTAATAGGGAAAATGAACATAGTACAAAACTGTTCATGTTATTACTATTTTTAATGTGTACATATATGTTTATATTTGACAATTTAAAAGTGGAAAGAAAGTTTTCTAACCACTTCCACCAGTGAGGAAATTAGGGAAGTGTGGAGCATTAAAAAAAAAAAAAAATCTAGTTTAAGTTCCCTCAGGGCATAATTATTGAGTTATTCAAATATTTCAATGGCATTTCTGCCACTTCTAGGAAAACAAACAAAAGGAATACTGTCTCAGATCTGCTGTAAACTGCAGATACACATATTCCAGATTAAACTCATATCAGTTCTTAAATTTTCAAGCCTGCTAGCTGGGAAGTCTTATCATTTGGGATTGTTTTTAATACTAGATTTATTTCACAGGAAAGATAATGTTTGTATTGATTTCAGTATTGTCATAGCAAACTGAAATTACTAGAGAACAAAACCAGGGAATTGTGTTTTACAGTGTGCATCAGTATATTCATTTGTGGATATAACGTTAGCTCTTTTTTATGAATCAGATAGTCTTATTAAATCAGAAGAGGAAATGTCCATAAAGATTTAATAAGAACACAGAAAGAGAATTCAAACTAATAAATCACCTTAATTATTTTAGCTTCATTCCTAATTTATAGGATTTGCATGGTTTGGGATTCTTTTTTTGGCATATTAATTTGATTTTGAATTGCTTTCTAGCTTGGTGCCATGGGAACATTTCTAAACTTATTGGATCTTTCATTATAAAATGCTTGGGTGTTATAGTACAATTGATACGTGATCAGTTGATTGTTTACCTCAAATCATATAAGTTTTATAGTCTATTTAAAATACAAGCTTTTACAGTTGCAATGATTGCTCAAAACAAGACTCCCCAAGCCTGTCAAATTTTGAAAAATAAATTGATAATTTTTATATGACTTTATAAACCTTTGAGGCATCCTGTAATGATGGGAAATAGAAACCCGAATAGTCAATTATAATTGCTTGGAAATGATTGCCAATATCCTTGACTCAGTAATTATAAAATTGCCTGCATTGTTTTGATTTAAAAAATAACCAGAGGATGTGGCAGTATATAAATACTCACACAAATTATTGTTTAATAAATACTCTAATGAAACTCAGAGGCTAGTTCTAGACTATATCCATAAAGCATACACAAGTTTGGTCTATCTGTATGATAAATTTTGAAAAATCAGTCTGCAGTGACTTTAATTAGGATTGCTTTTAAAAAGAATGATTGGAATGTTTTTTCACACTTGATCAATATGATGTTTATTCTGCTGGATGAAAATATGGAAATGCCAGCATTATGACTTTTCCTTTTTTATTCCTCCCTAGAGAGAATCTGTTTCTTATATTTAAACAATAGACAATTGAAAAGTAAAATCAAATTTATATTCTCTCTCCTTTGTACTAGCTAGATTGTGATTTTACTAGAAAATTGGATAACTTTATCCTGTTCTTTAATCTTGTGAACCTAATCTTTCTTAATAAAACTTTTAGGCTACATATACTAATAGGCTACATATACTAATAGTTTAACCACTCTTCAATTAAAATAACTAGTCATTTATTATTGTCTGTGCTTTATTCTTTAAAAAATAGTGTTGATGAGGAAAAGGGAAGTTGGGTTGAGGATTGACTAGAGAATGTGATTAGGGATACATTAGAAAGACAAGTAGCATTTTCATGATTTATGCCTTTTAAAGAATATTATGTCCAAATGTCTAAGTTTTAATTGTATACTCCAGTTTTAAAATATATTTTCATTAAATTTTATCTCTTAGGCATACAAATTCAAGTTCCCTTCATTAGTTCAGAGAACAGTACATTTTAAATAATGAGTCAAGTATAGAGAGATTGTGAAATAGAGTTAAACAATGTGTAATCATGTAATACTCATGTGTTTCACAATCTCAATTGCAAATCAAGGTAATGCTATGAATTTCTTCTGACTAGTCCAAAAGCAGGAATATTAATGTGCAATTTGCATGTATTGTAATACATTAAATTGTAGCTCCTTAAGCTTCAACTACTAATGAGTTTACAGTATTTTTTGAGATTATAAAACAATTATTCTGTAATTAATTTTTAAATAATTGTTGCTATGTATAAAGGAAACCCGATATTGTTATTTTACTGTTTGGAAGAATTTGGTTTTCTCAAATATTGCAATATTTAATTAACCCCATGAGATTGCAGCCTGGGATTATATTTAGAAAAAGAAAAATTAATTACAGTCAATCCTCTGTATTTATGAGTTCTACATCCTCAGATTCAGCCAATTGCTGATTGAAAATGTAGGTAAGCCTATGATGGTTGCATGTATGCTGAACATGTACAGACTTTTTTTCTTGTCATTATTCCCTAAACAATACAGTATAACCATTATTTATGTAGCATTTACATTGTAGTAGGTATTATAAGTAATCTAGAGATGATTGAAAGTATATAGGAAGATGTTTGTATTAATAGGTTATATGCAAATACTCTATTTTATAAAAGGGCCACAAGTCTCTTATATTACTTATAATACCTAACACAATGTAAATGCTGTGTAAACAGTTGTAATACTGTATTTATTTTTTAATTTGTATTAATTTTTACTGTTATTTGTTGTTTCTTGTTTCTGAATACTGTATTTTCAATCCACAGTTGGTTGAATCTGCAGATGAGGAACCTGTGGATACAGAGGGCTGACTGTATTTGATAAACTTGATTAATTCTTTATGATTTTTTGATAATTGTTTATTTATAAAATTCTGATTTGTACTTTTTATGCTGAATACTTATCCAAATAAGTATGTGTGCATATCTTAAATGTTCTAGTTCTAGAATCTATGGACATATGAAAAAAATCTAAGGCATCAGAAAAGAACTGCATAGGCATTAGAGGAGCTCACTGATAAGATACTGAGCTCGGTTACCCTCATTACTAAAGTCTATCAATTAGGCATATTGGAATTTACTTTTAATATTCTGGTTAATACATAAAGTGGCAGTTTCAGTAAGTTACTATTTATCGTAGCCATAATACACAAAAATACTATATTACTGGTGAAAATTAATGGCTAAATATATTTTCTAATACTGTGGTCCCCAACCCCCAGGCCTGGACGGAGTACCAGCCATGGCCTGTTAGTAAATGAGCCGGGCATCACTGCCTGAACTCCGTACCACCCTCGCCCCACGCCATGGAAAAATTGTCTTCCATGAAACCAGTCCCTGGTGCCAGAAAAGTTGGGGACCATCATATCTAATAGATCTATTCTGTATAGTAAATTTATTTGTAATTAGAAATATATTTATGTTTCTAAAAATCAGTGTGTTTAAAGTACTTGTTCACTGAGTGTTTGCAAGTAAAGTTATAACAGATTCTCTTCTGTAGTTTGCTTCCTTTTAATTATCAGAACTTCATTCTATATACTGTCTTCACATCTATCTTCTGACTCACTCATACTTCCCTCCGTTGCTTGCAGAAATCTTTGGTAATCCCATCTACTTAATACATAATGTTGATTATAGCAGCTTATAGTATTTTAAATTTTCATTTATCTGACAACATTTTTCATATTGTTTTTATTTCCTGAATTCATCGTCCATAATGATTGTAAATGCTTTGCCTGATAATCCCATTCTCTAAAGCCCCTGCAATCTATCATATTATCCATTCTTTCACTGAATTGCTAGTGTTTTGTCTGCCTAATTACTATTTTTTTTTTTTTTTGAGTGTGGGAGATTGTACATAAAATGTTGTAGAAATAGTTTAAGACCTAGGAGTGTGTTACTCTCCTAAAGA